ATAACTAATTTGCTTCTACTTTCTGTGAGTCTTCTTATTGCAACTCTGACCGTTGCAGTTTTCTGGACTGTCTTGGTAACATATTAGACCTTGGTCCATTATAACTTCTAGGTATTTAGCTTCGTTGCGCTATTCGACGGGTCTCTATTGCACTGTTAGTTGTTCTTCTGGGTTACTACTTCTTTATTGCTATTTATCGCTATTTTCCATTGTATAGTCGGTTCTTCTATCATATTCAGTGCCTTCTGTAGATTTCTCATAACTATATCCAGGTTACTGCGTTTTGCCGCGATTGCAGTGTCGTCTGCATAAAGGCTGGCTAGTGTTCCGAGTGTCCTTGGATCATCTGCTATAAATATATGCTATACAACTATAAGTTGATAAGACCACCCCTATGATACTCCAGCTTTCGGAGCTCTGTGTTTAGATAGAACTGGTCCTATCTTCACCCTGAACGTCCGGTCGCTTAGGTACGAGGAGATAAGTTTCGTCATAGACACGCTGTATCCATAATCTCTTATTTTGTATGTCAATCCTTCATGCCATACTCTATCCAAGGCTTTGCTTAGATCTAGGAAGGCTGCTCCTGTAAATTTTTGGTAAATTAGCTCTTATATACTCTGTAAGTCTGAGTATTTGTAGTTCGCTGGAATGTTAAGTTCCTAATCCAAATTTCGCTTCTGGAATTAATCCTAGCCTGCCTGTCTCTGATTGGAGTCTGGTTTGGATGACTCGCTCTACTATCTTACTGACTGCTGTATGTAAGTTGGCCTATAATTTTTCGGAAATATTTGGTTCTTTTCTGGCATTAATATCATAATTACATAGCTTCCTTCCATCGGTTTGGGAAAAGCCTGTATCTTAGTATTGCGTTTATCATATTTATTAAATATATAATTGCTTTCAAAGGAAGATACTTTAAAGTCCTGATATTTCCCTTTAGAGAACTTTTTCTGATCAGTTTACTTATTTCTCTGAGTAATGTGGGCTTTATTATTTCTGCTTGATCTAAAGGCGTTTCTAGCTATGTTTCTTTCATTTAATTGATAAACTATGTCTTCATCCTAGTGTTAATTCAGTGTACACTCCCCTTCAAGAGTCCTTTTCATCACTTCAGCTTTTTGTTCTACAAGTCGTTTCCGAATTTTCTCCGTGTAGTGGGGCAATGAGTTTTTTATCGTTTCTTAAAGTTCTTTGGAACCTCTATATTTCTTGCATATTTTTTCCCGTTCCTCCATTTCTTTTACGTAACTGTCCCACTTTTGGCTTTTATTTTCTATTAATACCTCTAGACTTGTCAATTAACTCGGTTTGTCCCATTTGGGACACACCCACAAATCTTCCTATGTGAATTTCATATTATTCTTGTTTAGTAGTGATATTCCTTAGTGCCTCTTTTATGACGTTTTCTAGCTCTAGGACTTGTTCCTCTGTTTCTTGTGGATTGTCTATTGTAGGAACGTTTCCTTGTTATTTTGTTATCTTCTTCCCATGTTTTTTATGTGGTCTTTATCGTTCCATATATTTGGGCCTCTTATTTATTTATTACATACATCAAATTATTTTTTCTTGTGTCTTTTTATTGTCATCGTTTTATCGAGAGGTCTTATCTCTGATTTCCCTCATCTGTTGGACTATTCTTAGGTTTTGTTCTCCCATTGCTTCTGTTAATTATGTATTTTCTATTTTCGTTTCTTTTAGTTAATCTAGTATTGTTATCGTAGTACTTTCTATCATTTTTATGTTGCTTACATTTTTATTTTAATTTTAAAATTCTTAGAAAGTGTCAATAAGGTTTTCCACTTCAACGGTTCGGAGGAATTCACTTTATCTATAACGTTCAGAATAAATGTGTTCGTCTGTGACGTAAAGTTTTCTTTTATAAAGTTTTCATAAACTGTCTACAACTTTTTCAGCCGTAACTTATTGACATTCTGAAATACTGACAAATGAATACATTTTACAAAAATTTAATTTCCAAATAACTGCAATAAACTCTACAGATTCCAATTGGACTACTTAGATTTAATTCACATTTAATCAATTTGTGACTTTTGATGCTTTAGTAAAAAGCACGTATAAAGAAAGGCCTAAAAAATCCAAAAATTGTGAAATACTTTTAATTAAAATTTGAAATTTATTTGTGGTGTACTATAATAGATACATATGCCAAGAATCTGAAGGAGCCTGATCTGAGATTTGAGATACTTAGATTCTTTTCGTTATGTGTTGTATATGTTATGGACCATATGATTAATTGGTCATTTTTCATAATGCCCGGGCTATATAAAAAATGCCCAATACTGTCGGTCAATATAATAAATACTATTAAATTCATCACATTGCCCGGGCATTATGTATAATGCTTGGCATCTACTAGACAGGATGATTAAAACTACTTTTATTTTTATTAAATATGAAATATATTTATTTTGATACAATCAAGTATGTAGTAAAAACTAAAATATTTCTTATATACTAATGAAAACAGTCTTGCAGTCTTCTGTGAAATGGCACATGAGTACATTTAATGAATAAGTATACATAAAAAATATAATACGTATTAACGGTAATTGAGGAAACCAAAAAAAGAATTCTGTGTTTTTATTTGCATTTTTTTCTAATGACCGAAATCGATGGTAACACACAAAGCGGCCAGTGAGAAATTAAATCGTTTTTCTTCTAAATCAAACTCAATTTTAAATAAAAATACACTTACCACCTTTGCGTGCTACATCATCGAAATTTATTTTGTATGAATGATTTACAATACATAACTATTTGTTGAAACATGTTCCACTATGGTGACACTTGGAGTTACATATTTTTTTTTCTTTACGACACTTACACTTATCGGATTTACACCCACCTTTACAACCGCACCTACTGTATCCTTGTCCCCCACAGTTAGAAGATTTTCTTGCGCATTCTCTAAGAGATATCTCAGTGTCTGGAATCTCTTCTATGGAGATAAACTTTTCTTTACAAACGGTAAACTGGTTTCTTGAATATAACTGATTTAGTATGCCATATTTTGTGCCTAGTTTGTAAAGCTTTTTTTCAGTTATCTCTGTCACGATAGCTAGTAGATTTCTTTGATCACTACGAGCTCGGTCCACATCTGGCACTCGTATCCTAACTGTGTTACCTAGTTTAGCCGATGGATATTTGGAATTGGAAAATTTTAACATCTTCTCGGCTTGTTGTTCTAGATTCGTCAAAGCCAATTTTCTTTTCTTCCTTACATCGTTTATTCTAATATCTATATTGGAATCCAGATTTTCATTATTTTCTAAATTAACTACAATAGCCGTTTCTACCGCATTTGTTAAAAATTCTGGAACTTGACTAGATTCACGAGATGAATTTTCATCAATTAAAATTGCTCCAATTTTTTGAACGTCCAGGGTGTAGCCAGATGATATGGAACTTGATTCGGGCAACATTATTGAAGAGTCCACATTTATATTATTATTTTGTATTATATCCGGTTCTGTAGATAGCCCAGCCTCTTGATTTTTGAACAGGACCTCTAAGTCTTCCTCCGAATTAACATCAGTCAGAACTTCTTGGGGTAGAGAGCTTTTTAAACCAACTTTCAACTTTGTGCCGAACATGGCTTCATATGGACTACAACCTATACCAGTGTGATGAGCTCTATTTTTCATTAGTTGAACAAAACGTAAGCCTTCAGACCATTTGTTTGTATTGTTGTCTTCTAACCACGAACTAAGCATATTCTCTACGTCTTGATTGGCCCTTTCTATAGATCCTTGACTCTGAGAATGCCTGGGTTTGCCATGTACCATTTTTAACTCGGGCCACATGCTACACAGCTCTTTGATAATATGGTTAGCGAATTCTCTGCCATTATCACTATGAAGCACACTCGGCGCCCCAAATATTGTGAAAATATCCAAAAGTACATGCGATACTTCTTCTGCTCTTTTACTTGTAAGAGGTCGAAGTTGGACAAATTTGGTAAGATGGTCTTGATAAACAAGCACAAATTTATAACAGCCATCGGCTTGTGACTGCATATCGATTAAATCGACTTGGCATCTTGAATTCATTTCCTTGCTCAATATTGGTTTCACCACCAAGCCTTTCTTTGGAACATTATGTTTTTTCTGACAGGTCATGCATAAATTTAAATAGATAACAATCATCTCCCTTGTAATATTTTTAAATTTAGAATGTACTTCCTTCTCCATTCGGTTTCTACCACCATGCCCGATAGTAATATGAAGATCGCGCAATGTATCAAATATTTCTTCTGTATGGACGTAGTATTTAATTACGTTATCTTCTTTCACAGGAACAATCAATTTTTCTACTTCTCTAATCGTCATAACGTCGAATCTTCGTAAGCGCTGATAATCACTCGGCGTTTTATTTGTCTGTTTACTTTTAGAGTTTTTTACCTTCTGTATCATTTCCATGTAGGCTGTTTTTGTGAAAATTTGTGAATTTTGACTTTTTGCTGAAATTAATTCAGTTAACCGATTGTTAAATCGATTTTTCATATCACTTAATGGTTCTTCTTTTTCCATAGTTCACTATGCAATACTTTATAAACAAAGAATTAACAAAGAAATGTCACAAACAAACCACTTGTCGTATATACCATTACTAACATTCAACTGCAATATGATTTATAAATAATGGCCGACGCGCTTCGGTGACTGTAACCTTGGATACAGCGCGTTGATTCGCTGCTGAAGATCGCATGATTTACTAAGAACGCCGATTTATCACATTGCCCGGCCATAGTATAGCATTTTTCATAATGACCAGACAATATGATAAATTGTAAAAAATTATCAAATTGCCCGCTGAAGTTAGTCATTATTAATAATGACCGGGCATTATACATAATGGCTAACATAATCACTTTGTCCATAACATATACAACATATCTCAAATTTTTCATAAAATTTCTGAAAGTATTCCTAATTTTTAGATTTATCACCTTAATCTTCCACTATACAAACATCATAATGGACTACATAAGAGACTTCGACGTTCAGCTGGAAAAGGATTATTACTATGCTGGGGAAACTATTAAAGGAAATGTAGTTTTGGACACAATAGAAAACTTCAAACTCAGAAGTAGGTTAAATTTAGAAACTCAAAACTAATGATTAAATAACTGTATCCATTTTTTAGCTGTAAGGGTTATTTTGAGAGGTAAAGCACATGCCGAATGGAAAGTACTAGTATCTGGTGAACGACGAACGGTAAGTATGCTAATTTTTGCCTTATTTTTTTCTTATGGATGCGTTTCCGATCAGCGATTTAATATTAGAATTATTTAAATTTTTAAAGCAATTGTCAAAATTTACTGCTTTTTCTGGATTAAAATTATACTATATTAAATTAAAATTTTCAAACTCTACATCAAAGTCAACATCAGTAGTTAAATAACTATATACATCTATATGAAAATCATCTTCATCTTCTGAATGAATCTGTTTCTAATAAATATCTTTTTCTAAATAACCTCACTGGTTTTTGATTGACTAGATATATATAGTCCGTCTAAAAAGTATCCGGAAAAAAGAAAGCAGAATTATAATTTTACGGTATTTATTTCTATCACTTAAAATATAAAATTTCAACAAATAATTCATCTCATGTACTTACACAACCCCCATTTAAATCTAAACACTTAACTAAAACGTCCAGGTACACCCGAAACTAGGTCAAGGCCATAATTTTCGGTAACGGTATTCCAGGCCTGTAAAACTGACCGAAGTTAACCTTCTTTATCTCGTGGCGCTGCTCGTTCCACTTCAATCTTCATCAGTGCCCATATGTTTTCAATGGGGCTAAGATCTGGAGATGCTGCTGGCTACGGAATTGTTGACAATTCGTGTTCTTGCATCCAAGCTTGAGTAAAAGCAGAAGTATTGCATCTTGCATTATCTTGCTGAAAACGTCACCCCTCTAGATATAAAACATGAGCCGTTTCAAGAAGAAAACCATTTAGGATGTCACAATATTTCACACTATCAACAGTGCCATTAACTATGACAGAGAGAGATAGCACTACGCTGAGGTATTGCTCTCCAAACCATTATTTTAGATTGAAATTTAGAAATTTGAACGGTGACATTTTTTCTTGATAGGACTTTTAGATGATTTGCACCAAGCTGGAAACAACTTTCATTAGATATAAAGACATTATTAAAATTATCTTCTCGAAAACGTTGACAAAAGATTTATTCTTCGTTGCCTTTGCAGATGTGTCATTGTAGTGATTTTTTTTTGGATTTCTTGATATGTAGCCTTGCTTTTTCAGTGACATGCGGAGAGTTTCTGGGCACACTTTTATTCTTCGTTAATTTCCAAATCTGCTCGCTAATTTCCGAAACTCTAGGCACGGATTTTGTCGTCCTAAAGCTACTAAAGCATATAAATTGTTTCCGCAAATCTACGCGGTCTACCGAAACTGGTCTATATCTCATATATACGCCATTTTTTATCCTCTTTATTTTATTGTCTCATATACTGCACTTTTTTCCGAGTTCAGTCAATTGCACTAATTTTTTAACGTTTCGGACACCCTTTCTATACAAATATTCCACCACTTTTATTTCTTCTACTTGCGACGTTATTTCACAAATCTTAAGTCTGTTTACAAAAAACAATATTTGAATTTGTATATTTTTTAATTTTAGAAATATTCACATTATTCTGAATATTTTTGTTAATACTTCCTACATACTCTATTGTGAATCGTTTTTGAGTTACAATGGTTTTTTATATGAAAATTACACTTTTCTACCATATTATTATTCTCTAATATAGTTTGACTAAAAGTTTAAATCCTTCCTTTAAGGCCCGCATGTTCAAACGCTAATCAGTACTTGATTGTAATCAAATATTTAATTAAAATCAAATACGTCACATTTAGAGGTTATGTTGACTGATTTATTGTATTCAATTTTATTATTTTGCGTTTTAATTTAAAATAAACCATAATTAAACTCTTTCTAATGTTAATTTCATGATTTTATTTACAAATAAATAATAATATTAAGCAATTTTTAATAATTTTGACAGTATTGGGGCGTATTTAGTTGTAATTAAATATTTGATTACAATCAAGTTTTGATTGGCGTTCGAACAATCAGCCTTAGAATCTTATTAAATACATTTTACAATGTAAAGTTACCTTTTTCGTTGTACAGGTTGCTGTCATAATTGGCATAAAACTCGCATCCAACTTTACGCCTAATTCCTTTTTTTCAAATGGGACACCCTATATGTGATTCATTATTTTAGAAAAATATATTTTTCACTCTCGATCTGTATTGGTGTTCCTTATACCTATCTCTTGTAGTTTTCAAATAAATTAACATTTTTTTCACAAAAAAATTTGTTCGTAGACTATGTTGTGTTAATTTACAATTTTCATATTGTAAGTTAAACATTGAAAAATTTCAAAGATGCAATCAATGAAAATAAGCACTAGCTTATTAATGTAATTAATGTTCAAAATGTTATCCACCCACATCCAATCATTTATGAACTCTTTTAATCAGATTTTTATTAGTAGCTCTTGATATTGATTTTTCGTGACGTGAAGACGTGTTTCTCTGCTTTATGGACTACGAGAAAGCGTTTGATCGAGTAAAACACACAAAACTCATAGAAACCCTAACACAATATGGTATAGACCATAACACTGTAGCACTTATTAAAAAACTATATTGGAATCAAATGGCGTCGATCAAAATAAACAATCGGCTAACAGCAGAATTCTCCACTGTTATTTAATATATATTCCGAAAAGATCTTTCAAAGTGCCCTAAAAAATATTGAAGTAGCAATAAAAATCAACAGAGAATACGTAAACAACGTAAGATACACGCAGACGACACCGTCATTATTGCGGACAGTGCTGAGGGTTTACAACGACTTTTGAATGTCATAACCAGACAGGGAGATAACTTGGAACTAAATATAAACACAAATAAAACAAAAGTAATGGCTGTTACACGTGCACCAAATGTCGACATTAATATTCGTATCTATAGCAAACATATAGAACCAGTACAAAGATTCCAGTATCTTGGTTGCTGGATAACAAACGATCTTGACCACGAGGTCGAAATACGTGCTCGTATAGAATATGCTGGGTCCGCATTTCAACGAATGAAAAAATGTCTAATAAACTCTATGTTATCGTTGGATATCCGATACCAATTTGTAAAAAACGTTTATTTATTTCATATTGGTATACGGAGTGGAAACATGGACTCTCGGAATTACAAGTATGAGGCGTATATGAGAAAAACGAGTTATCTATGACATATTTCCAAAAGAGAAAAATACAACTTTCTACGACTTATAATGGAGGGAAAGTGGAAGGAAGAAGAGGTCCAGGAAGAAGAAAATGCTCCTAGTTGAAGAATGTAAGAGACTGGACAGGTATGGACACACATATGATACTAATAACAGCTCAAGATAGAGAGCAATTTGCTGTAGTTATAGTCAACCTTCAGTAATGGAGAAGGCATCTTCAGAAGAAGATATTGATTTTTCATCTAATTCGTTAAAAACTTAAAGAACTTTATTTATTTTAGCTTGCTCAGTACTAACAGGTTCAGAGAACAGCTTATTTTTAATATATCTCCAAATATAGTAATGTAACGGCGACAACGGGATCTTTGTGACCAAAGAAACGGATCTTTATTAGCTATCCGTCTATCACTAAATATTTTCATCAAGAAACATCCTCGCTCCTAGTATATTGTGAGGCGGTGCTCTATATTGTTAAAACCAAGCCTCGTTAACCTCATTATTATGGCAAGCGTGCAGTGCTGGTTCAATTACTTGCCGTAAAATGTTGCAGTAAGGCTCTCGGTTTAAAGTTTCGTCATAAATCATGAGAGCCACTATCTTATTGTTTTTCACAGCAGAAGATTGAACTTGAAAATTTGGTATATTGCATTTGGAAATATTACCAGACACGTCCAAATTTACATTTGATTTACTTAAACAAGAAAAAAAAAAAAAAAAAATAAAAAAAAAAATAATATATATATATATATATATATATATATACTACTACTAAGATTTCCACAGTTTTCACTGTCTTCCTTCACTCAGACGATTTCTCCAATTTTCCTGTCATTCCAGTCTCTATCTCGCAGGGTTCTTTTCTCCATAGCCTCGTCGATTTCGTCTCTGAATGACCTTCGGGGTTTCCTCTCTTTCTTCTTCCGATCGGGCTCCATTCTGTGATTTTGTTTATCCAGCGTCCTCTGTCCGCTCTTCTGACGTGGCCGTACCAGGATAGTCTCTTCTCCTCTATATAGTCGATTATGTCTGATTGCACTCCCATTCTCCGCTTAATCTCTGCGTTTTCAATTCTGTCTCTTTTTGTAAGTCTACAGCTTCTCCTCAGGAACTCCATTTCTACTGCTCTTATTCTACCTCTATTTCTCTTGTTTATTGTCCAGTTTTCGGACCCATATGTCAGGATACTTCTTGTCAGGGTATTATATATTCTCTTTTTTGTCTTTATCGTAATGTTCTTATCCCACAGCACTGAATTTAGTTGTCTTATACAGTTTCTTGTTTGTCTTAGTCTGTTGTTTATATCTTCTTCTGTTGTTCCCTGGTTCGATATTATGGTTCCTAAATACTTGAATTTATCTGTTCCATTTACTTGTCTTCCCTCGTCTATCTCTAGGTTTCTCATATCCTTGTTTTCTGTTGTTAGGTATTCGGTTTTCTCTAAGTTTATTTCCATTCCGTTGTTTTTATATTCTTCTTCTAGTTTTCTGAGCATAAAGCTGAGATCTTCTTCATCTTGTGCGATGACTACTTGATCGTCGGCAAAACTTAAGGTGTATAGGTATTCGTCTCTTACTGGTATGCCCATTCCTTCGCACTTTCTCCTCCATGGTTTGAGTGTCTTTTCCAAGAATATTTTAAACAGAGTAGGGGACATAGCACAGCCTTGTAGAAGCCCTTTTGTCGTCTTAAATGGATTGTAGGCTTTATTTCCACATTTAATAGCTACTTTGTTTTCTTTGTACAGTGCTTTAACTGCTTTTATTAGTGTTTGTCGGTTCCGTTTTTAATTCGTTCCGTTTTAATTCGTAATTTTTAGTTCGTTTGGTATCCCTCCGGGGTACATATACATATATATATATATATATATATATATATATATTAATATAATATATATATATATATATATATATATATATATATATATATA